AAAAACTATGAAGATTGATTGTCAAAGAGTAAGGTGAGATATTTATCTTATTAAGTAGTTGTTTAGTCATTATGCATCTGAAGTTACGCTGCCACTAGAATTATATAATAAGCAGAGAACTGGAAGCACATCGTGGCCTCAGGTAGTTATTTGGACTGGAATAACCAGACCTGTGAACGTCCTTCTCTGATTTATATATAATTCGAAAAGCTACTGTGTATTTCGCTTGCACGAGGCCATTGATTGACTTCTGGGGCTGTGGTGAATAGGATGCATGGATAGATGCTTTGATGTTCAGTCACTCAGAACTTTTTTATACTTGATGATGATGATAGCATCTACTTACTTTTTTTTTTTTTTTTTTTTAGGTTATCAGGATTTGGTGGTGATGGAGGTATTGACATTTTTGGAAACCATGAAGGGTATTTAATTCTAGTCCAATGTAAGAACTATACAACTGCAAAGGTTAGCGTCGATGAAATCAGGGCATTTGAAGGAATGATGTTAAGATATCCCAAAAACACCACGATAGGAATTTACGTGACATCTGTTATGGATGGATACTCAAGACTTGCAATTGAAAGAGCGGAATCATCTAAATTAAATCTATTATTAACAAACATGTCAAATATGCACCAAGACATTTTGAACTACTTCTCTAAAAAATTATATAATGATTCTGAAGAAGAAAATTATATAATTGAAGGAATAGTTTATAAGACTGAAGAAATAATTCGTGCAATGAACGAGGATCATAAAAGAAGGATGGAAGTTTTAGAAGAGAAGGTCGACGCAATAATTGAAAATCAAAAGAAATTCGAAAGAAAAATGGAAATAAATCAATTCAGAATAACGGGTAATCAAAAAATAACAAAAAATAATCAAAGTAAAATTTTAATATTATTAATTGTAATAATTATATTACTATTAATAAACTTGATCAAATAAAATAATTTTTCTATTATTGTTGTTTTAAAAATATATTGTACTAATTTTCTAGTTTTCAATTTTTTTTTGAATTAAAAATTAATTTTTATACAAAGTTTAGTTACGATACGCCTACGTTTACTATAAAAAAAAAAAAAAACTTTATTTTTTACTGAAAAAAGTATCATATAAAAAGCAATAGAGCTAACAAACACACCTAATTCTCAATTACTACATGATTAAAAAACCATTAACCTTATACAGTAATCCCCGATCACTATATCAAGATCACGGGAGGATTAATTAATACCCCTAACCGTATGTAAACTTCGTTTCCGCTAATTCCCAACGGATCAGGATATTATTATAAAATTAGCATAGAAAATGAATTCAATTTATATTAACTCGACATAATATGAGCTCAATTTGTGTTTAGTTTAGTAATAATCAACTTTAATAAAAATTGAAATCCGAAGTCGACTAAATTTAATTTGTTCAAACTGAAAATTCGCAAGAAAAATTAAGTAGTTGGCAGTGAAACTTTTTATAAAAATGAATAACGATAATAAATACTGCAATAAATAAACAAATAAATTATAAAAACCGTAGAGCAATAATGAGGTAATAGCGCAGTAATAACGATGAACAAAATTAAAAAATCATGATAAAAAATCGGGTATGCATTTATCAAAAAAATATAGTAAATATTAATAAGTGAAGACGCGAAGACCAATAACTTTTATACCTCAACATATTGTAGACAATATAAATTAACAAAAAAAAAAAATTTCTTCGAGAATTATATAATTATCACAAGTGTTGTACATTTTTTGTCTCTCATTGACGGGTGTTACAAGAGAAAAAACAAAGAACAAACAAAAAGAAAGCAAAGAAAAACAAGTATGGGTTATCTGTCCCTTCTGCTTTCGTGCTATAGCTACTAACAGTACAGAA